GCAAGCCCCTCGTCCCTGGTCGATGGAGGCCCCTAGGCTGGTGGCTCCTCTGGCTCGGCGGGCGCGGGGGGGCGGAGTGTCACGGGTTATTTTGAATGAAGCTGGTTTTCCGAGAAGGTAGGGGTTGAGCTGGAGCGCTAGGCTCGCGTCAGCAGGGCTGTTGCCGGTCATCTTGAACACTCCGGCAGAGTTCTCCCGGGAAACCGTGATCACAAATCCCCGCTCCAGAGCAGGCTGAGGCCACGGGGTGGGCGGCGGGGGAGACCCAGGGGGAGTTTCTGCCTCCCCCGGCAGCAGCAGACCTCCCTGCTCTGCAGAACTGGACGCAGGGCTGAGCTGGCCTGGCGCACGGAGCGGGGGAGGGCTGGCCTCGGGAATGCTGGCGCCACGGCTGCCAGGAGCCTCTCCTGCTGACACACTCTCCTGGGCCGCCCCTGCGCGATAGTAATTACACTCTGCTTGCAGCTTCTGCTGCACGGATCAGTGCGCCCCCAAACCGAGGCCTTGGGGTGTCTCGCTTCACAGATCAAAACCAGAAGCCCAGTCCCTGCCCCAGGAGTCTGAGTTTCCACAGGGGAAGCTCTCAGAAGATTGCCTAGAAGGGATCTTCCTCTTGAAGCCCCAGGGGCTGAGAGTGAGGGGGTTGGGAGGGAGCAGCAGGCCGGCCCCCTGGCAGCACTGTTGTGCTTGGTTTCTGTACATTCCCCTCTGCCCTCGAAGCCGGGGTGCCACCTGCCCCCATACCCATCCCTGCCGTCCTCCTGACTGGACTTCCCTGAGGGCCACTCTCCGGAAGGCAAAGCCTGGCAGAGGGCTGGTGGGGGTGTGAGAGGTGCAGGCTTGATCTGGGAGGAGATGGGCCAGGCCCGTTTGGGAGCCTGAGACGGCCCCTTTGGGCTCCCATCAGCCCCCTCTGCCAGCTGGCGGGCACTCCCAGGGAGCCCTGGGCTCAGGTCCTGGCCCAGCCACCTTGCTTGCAGCTCTGTGCGAGTGGTTCTGGCGACTGTGCCGGGTGGGGTGTGCGGATGCCCTGGTAGAAGGCTGGCCACTCCTGCTGACAGGCTGACATTCCTAGGTGTTCCCAGGCAGGTCAGTGGGGGAGGGCTGAAGTCTCTCTCCCTGGGGAGTGGGAGGATTGTGGGGCCCTATGGGGGGATGGTGGGATGGCTTCCCACTGCTCTCAGTGCCGAAGTGCAGTCGCACCTGGGCTGTCTCCTGAAGGTGGGGAGCCAGAGGGAACTCCTTTCTGACGGTGACAAGAGACCACCGCTTGTTCTGGTGACCTGGGTTTGTGCCCGGCATGGTTGTGGGTGGCGTGTGGGCCGGGACCACACTGACCCCAGAACTGAGTCTGCTTGCTTCGGCATGTCCTGTGTCAGCTTGGGGCTTGCTCGCTTCCACACACCTGCCCGCAAGGTGTCCGCAGGGTGCCCTGCTGCCAATCACTCATTTAATTCGAAAATCAAATCAAATCTTGAATTTTATTTTAATTATTTTATTTAACTTTATTTATTTATTTATTTATTTAATTATTCATTTGCTTATTTCAATTTGACCGGAGAGGGACAGAGTGAGAGAGAAGAGAGAAAGTGTGAAAGCAAGCCGCCAGGTCCGGGACTCGAACCATAGTCGGCCATGTGGGAATCCAGGGCCTTTAACCACCATGTCACTTGCCAGCCTCCAGTCAC